CACATTCGAAACCTTTTTTTGTTATGAAAAGGAATGGACAGAAAACATCAAATTATTGCAGAAATAAAACAAAAGACTCAATACATAACATTATCGCACAAACATACGAAATGAACATGTAAAACAAAAATGACTTTGTGGTGCTTTTACAGAGAGCAACGTAATGATACGTCAGCACCAAATAAATATGTATCATGCTGAGACAACGAATGATTGATAGTTAAGAAAGTGGCTTGATGACAGTACAAGTAAAAGAAGAGGAAAAGGGATAAAGAGATGGGTGTAATATTACCATGACAACATTTGCATCAACTAAACCAACCTCTTAGGCAGCAGACATGAGCGAAAATAACAGACTTAGTTTCAAGAGATCTCTTCAGAAAAAACAACAACATATACACATATACTGCAGCATTTTTCGTAGGCCTGCTAGAGCTTCCAGTGTTGCCTTGGATGTCCTGTCGAGGTAAGGTCACGTACGAAAGACAAAGTTACTTCAGCAGAGACAGAAACTCTTCTCGCGTCTTCGGATTGGTCCTGAATTCTCCGAGCATTGAAGACGTGGTCGTCGTGGCGTTGATCTTCTGAACGCCGCGCATCACCATGCACATGTGGCTGCGAAGGAAGCGAGGAAGGACTTAGCCAGCGGGGTTAGGATACCCTTCCGTTATGGTTCATTTGGTTTACATTGCGCAAGATAACAATGCTATTATTGTTGTTATTGTTCTTGCTATTATTATCACTATCAATATCATTATTATTGTTATCATTATCAACATCATTATTATTATTGTTATTTTCATCATCAGTATCATTATTATTATTGCTATTATTCTATAATTATTGTTGTTACTATTATTATTATCATTATTATTATTATCATTACTATTATCATTATAATTATCATCTTTACTGTTATCATGATCATTATCTTTATCTTTTATTATTATTACTATTATTATAATTATCATCATCATCATCATCATCATCATCATTATCATCATCATTATTATCATTATCATTATTAACATCATCATTATTATTATCATTATTATTATCATCACCATCATTACTATTATCACTACATCATCAGTATCACCATCAACATCATCTTTATCCATAGTAGTAGTGAATTCAGCTTCATGTCAGCATGATCTTTCTTCCCGTAACAGAGCCCATCGAATTGTCTTGTTACGTCTACTCACGTTCCTTCCACCACAACGGCGACGCCAGCGGGCTGAACGGCCTCCACGATGGCTTCCGCAATCTGCTTGGTCAGCCTCTCTTGGACTGCGGGTTGGAGGAGAAAAGGAGGAGATACTTGTGCCTTTGGTGGTTTATGGTTTATATGTCTGTTATTCTGTTTGCCTGTCCAAGTAACTGTCTGTTTATTTGTCTATCTCTTTGTCTATATGCATGCATACATCTATCTATCAATCTATATGTCTGTCTATCTATCTAATGCACATATACATGCATTCAATTGTTTGTTTGTTTGTATGAGCGTATGTATATGTGTGCTTACATAAGCAGACCCAAAAAATCTCACCTTGCAATCTACGGCTGAAGACTTCGACGATTCTGAAACGAGAGAAATAAATAAATAAATAAATAAATAAATAAATAAATAAATATATATATATATATATATATATGTATATATATATACATATATATATATATATATATATATATATATATATATATATATATATATATATATATATATATATATATATATATATATATATATATATACTTTCTGCAAATAGTTTTCTTTCGATCAGAAAGTATCGGGTGATTAAATGTTGTTTTTTTTTATCTTGTCAATACAATATACTGTCTCTATACATTGTTGAAAGGTCAATGAATCTGCATACAGAAGGAAATTAAATGCTATGTGCAGCAACCGTAGGTTATTCGCTTTACTTTACATTACAGTGTGTAATATGAATTTATTGTTTGAAATCATGGGCAAGACTGCACAATTTTAATGAAAAGGGCACTTTGTGTATACAACAAGATTAGTTTATCAGCTCACCTGGCGATCTTGGAGAGTCCCATGACCTTCTTGTTGGGCAGGTAACCAACCGACACCTTGCCCCAGAAGGGAACCAGGTGGTGCTCGCACGTGGAAAACATCTCGATGTCCTTCACGATGACCATGTCCTCCGTGTCCTCCTCGAACACGGCGTCGTTCATCACGTCTGAGGGAGAAGGAGAGTCAGACGGGGAAAGAAGCGGGGAAGGAGGAGGTGAAGAGGGAGTGGGAAGATGAGATGAAAGGAAAGGGGGAGAGGGAGAGGAAGAAAGAGGAGGGAAAAGGGAAGGAGAAGAGGGGAGAGGAGAAAGAAAAAGGAGAGAGGAACGGGAGTAAGGGGAAACGGGAGGAAGGAAGGGACAGGCAGGCGAAAGAGTGACCAAGGAGATAGGAAGAAGATAAGCAGAGGGAAGAGAAAGTGGGGTGGACGGTGGGCTGTAAGAAAGCAGATAAGAAATA